TTAAAAAATTATTGTTAAGTGCCATGAAACAAGGAAAGCGCCGACCACATCGGTAATATTATCTGTAGAACATTTTATTAGGGATTAGTGCTTTCACTTACTCTTTGTCTATGTACAAATTTATTTAAAAAGAGCTTAAGGCTTTTTCCCTAACTTGATACACGTCTCATTCTTGGAGCATTTTATATTTCATAACTTCCTCTTCTTGAAGAAGAAGGAAGAAAGTCGTGCGAAGTTGCGTTTTGGTGTTTAGTGAGATTAGAAACAACAACGACCAAAGCTAAAGACAAAAGAGCGTCGCTGTCTACTTTTCTACCAAAGGACTCAAACTAGAAAGACACGTGTCCGTTGAACGACACATGTCTGTCGGACTGGGCTCAGAGTTTCAAAGTTGTCGAGGAACCTGTGATCCCGTTGTAGATATATGTATTATCGAAGGGTACAAACTGACGGGTCACAAGTTTGACAATTTCTTGAGCTGCTGCACCTGATGAAGAAAAAGGAAACGTACAGATACTTAATGACTACTCCTCATTACGATCGATCAAATAGTTTCGCCCGCGCGCGATTGGTCTAAATGCAGCAACGTGATCGAATACCCCCAGTTAAAACTAGGTGATATCCGAGAATATCACCCAAGCGATATTCACCGAACATTTTTTCACGCGCCTTGCAAAATATTTGAGCGTTAATAAACACAATAGCCTCTATTTTGCGCGAAAATATGAATGGATATCTGTCCTTGGACATTAACTTTTGGCATCCTGGAACAGAAAATGTTCGCGGACGACTCCCATACGGGCGGCACACAAAATTCAAATCAAAATCCAGAAGGAATTGAACCAACACCAACTGAAATTTATGATAATCCTCATTGGCATAAATTAATATCTTGCCGGTACGCACCAGAGGACTGAAGGCGGGTGCGAGGTGCAGGGAGAGTTATGGGATCATATTTTTTACTTTGAGGCCGTTGGCAGGGCGAGGAATTCTGCGGTCAGCCTTCGCCGTGTAGAGTTGTTAGGTTTCGTTTCAATCTATTTATTTATTTTACTCATCATTTAATTTTTTCTGAAATATTGCCACGTTCACATCAGGTTTTACTAGGAGCTATACTCGTATACTTCTTTATCTATCTGTTATCTACTTGTGTTTATCATGTTATTCGTAAGATCATAGAATGCCCTAAAACCGCGAGGGTGGCACCACTGCCTTAGTTGGAGGTACACATTCCCCGTTTTTTCCACCTGTTGGTTTTCAGGGGTTTTCGTGTCCGGCTTTGGTGCATTTAGTTTTTTTTAACAATCATAAGATACTTTCAAAAGCATATCACAGTTGGTGTTAAATAAACGGTACGGTGGCTTGGCTGACCAACGCGCCAGATATCATCACTTGGATCACTTGGAGAGGCAAAATATTGGCCTTACCTCCTATGAAAGCGGCGACAGAGTGCAATTCGCTGGCTCCGTATCGACACCTGAAACAAGGCGAAAAGGTTACTTCAAGGCACAAATTCTGCGCTCAATTTTGGGCCGATTGTTGATTCTACTATCAACGGTTTTCAACTCAACGTTGTTAACGACTGTAATTTGTAGAAGACAAATACCGACAACAAACTTTATTAACCGATCGACGGTTAGTTCGCACACTAATCGTGAGTCCGAAATTTAACAAACGCGAGTCTTCGCTTCAAGCAACGTGACGTCACGCAATGCAAAATAAGGCCTTACCACCAAACTTAAAACAATAATAAAAACTAACCGAGAAGAGTTTTGTTCGTCAAACGGGAATGAGAAGAGAAACATTCCCAAACGGCTCTTTTTAATACAAAAAAATACTGCGAAGTTTTGCTCAAATAAGGTCAACTCCTTGTACTCACATTTCGTGAACGTATTCCTCCTTTACGTCCGCGTTCACCGACCATTCTTGGAGTAGAGAGCCAAGACAACACTGAATATAACAGAATTCATTAGAAATGAATCAGTTTAACTGTGCTGGCATCAATAGAAGAAGAAAGTACTTTTCTAATTGTAATACACATACTCATTCATGTGATATTGACACAATTTAGATAGCTGTGCTATGAGGCAATAATTTTCACTGAAGAAATATATGTAGATTGATATATTGTCCGAATATTCAGAAAATACTCGTCAACGAAGTTCATATGACACTTGTCCTGCACACTGCTAGGATCAGCAATGTCGATAGCGTAATGTTTGTAGATAGAAATAAGAGAGATGGTAAGTTTTTGAGCTCGGTAAAGAAATAGAGAAAGGTGTTTTTTTTTTCAGATCTTCGGATCCCGCCGTAGGCTGATAAAATAGCCAATCGAATCAGATTTTCAGGCTACGAACTGAATCAACTCCTACCAAACCAACATACCTTTAACTTCACAACATCTGCCTCAACTTGATCTTCAAAATTACCTGAAGAAAAGTTGCCACAAAGTTATTATTATATTAGCTCGCTAGCAAACCTGATACAATTTTTCTTTAAATTCCTCGCTAAAAGTGAGATACAAGCCAAATAAAAATAAGCAATAAAATTGAAAACAGATAATTCAAATTCGGAAAACTGAAATTTGTCTGTTTACCTGGATACCTATGATACTGCGAGTAAAACCTATCCACTGCTTTTAATAAGATATAGAACACAACGTCGCTGTCCGGATCTTCAAGGTAACCGGCTGAAAAGGAGGAAAAAAACAATTTAACAGAGAATAATTACGCGTATAGTGTATGAATACGGCGATAGAAAGTAGTTCACTCCAATGAAGAGCGCTCGACTGAGTGTTTTAGGGGAGTTAAGTTTCTAAAGAAACCGTGGCGCTGCGTCGGTAGGAGAGTATAGCAGGTAATTTAGTGTTAACAACTGAGTTGAAAACGTAAATTAGCTACCGTAAAGAGTAAAAAAGCTAACGTTTCGCGCCTTAGCCCTTCATCAGAGTGAGTGTTTTAAGACCAAAACCAGAGAAATCACAGCCAATCAGAAGAAAGGAAAATATCACATGGAGCCGATGAGATAACAAAGAAAAAAGACGCAAACTGCTTAAAGCGCGGGAAAATGTGCGAGTCACGGGGTTGCGATTAGTTTTAGTTTTGGATCTGATTGGCTGAAAGGATGGCGCGAGTTTTCTGGACCAATCATAGAGCGGAGTGGAGTAAAGCGAAAACAATCTCAGATTATTTTTCGATACTCGATGTAAACGTAGGGGTCCTACATTTGAATAGAGAGGGAAGTACACAAACCTAATTCATTCGCCTTGGCCAATGAAGGTTCACTCTCTTCAGCCAAGGATCTACCCCGAATTAATCTCAAAAATGCCGCATTTTTACCTGAAGGAGAAAACTGTGTATTAGACTTAAACAAAAAATCATAAATATCACAAAAACCACTTAAAGTCAAATATCAAATCTTGGGAGAGAGAGAATGTTCACGTTAAAATGAAGATAGATATTACATATCCTTTCTGTTCAAAAATCCATCGTTGGTTGATTTCTTTTGCACAGATCTACACTAGCCCAGTTGTTCAAAGGACTGATAGCACTATTCAGAGGATAAATCGCTACCGAGCAGATAGGTGCTAAAAAAACTTCCAAATCTTTCAATGATTTTCACTTCAGTTTTCTGGGCTTGAGGGTATCTGGATTGAAGATTTAAGATAACATTACAAATTACTTCTACTTACAGAAAAGCCTAATTTCCGAATCTGAAATGCTATCTGTTGACTGAAAAATAATCAAGGGGTCAAGTAGATAAGCAAACAACAACAACAAAAATACAAACAAAACAAACGTGCAATTGTTCTCAGAAGTGCCCAGACTAACAGATCAAAAATCCACAAGTACACATACAGATCTTGCCCTCCATGTAGAGCTAAAACCTTCCCACACAATTCAAGTTTCATTAAAAAAAAAGGAACCTGCTCATGACAAATAAAATCCTCCATGAACATTTAATAAAAGTAGAAAAGGAAAAAAAATACAAATGAGGGTTAATCCACAGGCATCTCACCTTTCCTACATCGAGTAATATTCTATGCACCCTTTGAGTTACTACAGCAATATCTTTTCTTGCCTGTTCTTGATATCTTGAAAAATGCAATCATACACAGACCATAATCAACTTCTAATCAACTGCTTGTTTTGGCTGCCTTGAAAATTAATACACGGTTCATGCACTACAGAATTACTGCTAAATGTATCACTTCTCAAATTAATTAGAGTGAGCACTAAAAAAGAAAAAAAAATTGTCATTAATGAGTTGAAATGTTAAAGTAATCTGTTTTGTTTTATGTTAGCCTGGATTTATATAAGCTTTTCTCCCTTTCCCAGTGTATCTGCAGCAAGCAAGGAAAACATAAAAAGTAAGAGAAATTTTTCCTGATAAAACCAAGACTTTGATAAGCAAGGCATCACACTGGGAAAGAAGGACTGCTCAAACAATGATATTTTGTTCCAGTCCAAGAGGACATGTATATATAACATGTGTCTGTATCTTCACCTGATCAAAGGTTACAATAACACTTACATATTCTGAAGCTCAATGTATCTTTTAGAATCTGCCGTCATATCTGGGATGGATCCTCTTAATGGAAGAGCACCTTGAGGGAAACATATGTCATTCATCCTTGTTATGTAGTGTTCACAATAAGAAATAGCAAAGATGGCTAAATGTAATGAAATGATTGTTTTTTTCATCCAGGCTTCTTCAGGAAGTGAAGGTAACAACATCTGTTTGAGTGAACAACTGGATGAAATGCCAAAAAAGAGACCAAAGAAAAAAAGAGAATAAAACCCAAACAATTGAAGAAAGAAAAAATAAATGAAGGAGAAAATAAACAAATGCACAGAAGAACCTTAACAAACAGGTGAAGGAGCAATCTATGGCAAAAGAACCGAGGAAGGAATCAAAATGAATAAACAAATATAAGTAGGTATTATAAAACAAAAACAAAAACAAACTAATAAATAATGAAATGAAGAATCTGAGGTCTGGAAAAAAGAGTATGCAAACAAAATATACATGATGTAGATAGAGCAACAGTTTTCAAAGCATTTTGAGCAACCAAAAATTACCTGTGCCCTCATTTTCTACAAATTCTTTAACAGCTTTGGCCAAGATCCAAAACGAACTATGCTAAAGGCAGAGGAAATTATCATTTTAGAATACAGGCTAACAATGGGGGCATTCTGTAGATGTACCAAGCTAGTTTTATTCTATGCTTTATCATTCATGTATACTTACAGATTCAGTAAAGTTACAACAAGAATCATCTGCAAATATTTGTGAAACTTCACTAGGTATCTGCAAGAAAAGCGACAAAAAATTTGTAAATGACACAAAGATATGAGCAAAGCTTAAGACTTGGAAACTTCACAACAAAGTGAAACTAAGACCACTTGGAATAATCTTCCTTACCCTAGTAGGAACAAGAGCTGTGTTCACAGCCTTTATTGCCTCATCAAAGTTTTCCTCTTCTTCTGGGATGCCATCTTTGTTGACTAAAATTCCTGATGGAAAAGTAAATTAACAAGGCACTCTTTCTCTGTTAGAACTATACAAATTTAATACATTAGAGAGGGACATTGCCAGGCCTACGGTGTCATCCTAGGATTCCCTTTAAAGCTCCAAGAAGAAAGTCTGCCTCTGATGCAGATGTCTAAAATTTGTCCTTGCCAAACAAGGAGCACCAATAATCAGTAGCTCTTCCACAAAAAGACAGTTCAAATGGTCACAGACTAATTACAGTCTTCAAAGAAAGCATCAGTACATGGTTGGTGCCCTGCCTTGAAAGAGATGGAATTTAAGCTTTAACATAATTTACCAAGCGTCAACTGACTAACCTCCCCTAATTGTTTGTTTAAACAAGTCTTTTTCCTTGTAATTTTGCGGAGCTCTGCCTTCATGCTGTAGAGAAAATGGATCAAGTTCAGACAGATATAATTGTAAGTTTAGTGCATATGTAAGGCAGCAGTTGTACCATAACTTACTTACTTTTCCAAAAATTTTGATAAAGAAAGATGGACTAAGGAATCATTCTGTGATGAACCCGTGTCCACTTTCACACAATTTGAATAAGCTTTCTAAATGCATCAAGTGAGTTCCAGATAACATATGGGCTTCATGTTGCTGTGCTTCTCTCTCTTAGTAGTTGTAGATGACGTAAAAAAATGGTAAAAAAAAATGTGGTATAGGAATTTCATAAAAGAAAGGACTCCACTGAATGGATGTTGTTGGTATTAACAAAGAGTTTTTTTTTTTTAAGAACAAGAATAAAGAGAATTGTCATGATGATGTTATCTATAATAATCCTGGGACATATCACATACGGAATTTTATTGATCAAACTGTGCCTTGCTGTCAGAATTATATTTACACTTAAAGCTTACATTGATGTAGATTTATCACCTAAGGAATTTTTTGGATCAAACTGTGCCGAGAGATCAGAATTATCTTAATTCCATGCTTAAAGCTTACATTGATAGAGATTTATAACTCTAATATTGCTAACATTTTAAAAAGTTCATTCCTGAAGGACTCACCTCTGCTTTCCATTTGTTTAAGTACTTTAACAACAGTACTACATATGGAGTGTGGCCATGCTCCTATGACAAATGTGAACAAAGAACTAGTTATTGATCAGGCAACAGTTGTTTGAATGTTGGATAGCACCATTTACTGGATAGCACTCTATCCAGTTGATAATACTATACATTTTGCTATCACTTATCCCCTGGACAGCGATTTGTCCGTTGGATAGCGTTATCTGCTACCCTTTATGTGTTATCTGTTACCCTTTACACAACTGGGCCCAGAACAAAATGATTCCCTAGGTTTATAAAAAGCATTACTGAACAGCTTGATGAAGTAATTTAAGTTGTTGCTTTATAATATTTCAGTGAAAATAATGTTATTTCCCCTTTCCCCCCTCCAGTATTGCCAAGCTTTCCTGACAGAACCCCAGTACCCATATATACTCCTGGGTAGAGAGACATGCACTGTGAGAGCAGAGTCCAAAAACACAACACAATGACTCAGCCTGGTCTTCAACCTGCACCTCTCAACGCAGAATCCAACATGCCAACTGTTAAGCCAGCAAATCTCCTGGTCAGGGGTTACACCTCGACTTTCTGATCCAGAGTCCAGTGTGAATACCATTTTCTAACACTGTGTCCCCTTACGCATACAATATTTACCTGTTTTGTCATGGTGTTAAGATCTAAAGCATCCACATACTGTACAAGGCCAGGAAAAGGCCTGTCTAATCTTAAGTCTGGATGAGTGCTATCAGGGTGTGATTCCACAACTGCATAAGTAAGAAAAATCGTTGTCAAGAAAAGAAACTTCTCACATGTTACAGATTTGTTGCCATACATACCAGGAAAAGTCAAGCTACAAAAAGTAAACATCATTTGCTATCTCTTTTCTATCGCAGGCCAAAAGTTTACCAGCACTGGTTGCTTACAGTGTACTCCAACAAGTTTTGGTGGCTTAGGGCCAAGTATACAGAAATACAGAATGTGGGTTAGAAGCAAACTCCATACTCCCATCTCAGAGCTGCTCTAAGCATATGAACCCAGAGTTTTAAGCTGTTGCAGTGTGACCACTCACACAGCAACAGACTGACGAAGGCTGGCAATTCTGCCAAAATATTTTCAAAAAAATTTACACAGAATGCAAGCTAATCTCAGGAATAAAGATGCAACATTATTCCACACAGAAATGTATTGTGATTCTTACCACAGTGCTCTTGCAGCACAATTCTCATGCAACCAATAAAGCCATATGAACGACAAACTAGCAGTGGAATATTTCTGGACCACAGTAAGGAACCAAGTTTTAGTAGAGTTCTGAAAATAAAAATGAACTTTAAATACCCTTTTCCATTGGAACAGTTGTAAAGTTTGAAGGTGGTAGAGATTCAAACCAAAAAATTGAATAATTCAAAGGATGGGATGCAAATAAGTATCTTCTTAAACAACAAGTTATATTCTCAATGACTGTAAATATATAAAAATCATATATGTGAACTGCCGTTGCAGAAACGAAAACGGAAGCAATCCTCGCAATTATGAACACTACTTAAATAGTAGTGAAAATAAGGCCTGAAGAAAAGTCAGAACTGGTATTGTAGAGGTCATGGGTTCAAATCCTGTACTGGCCTGAATTTTTTTCAGGCCTTATTTTCACTACTACTTAAGTAGTGTTTATAACTGCGAGGATCGCTTCCATAACTTATCTTTTAGGTTCCACTTACTCCTCAGGAAGCTGAGTAGCTATGACCACAGTAAATGACTTGAAATAGTCACTGTTCTCCCGTAACAAGCAGTCTGTAGTCTAATTGAAACAATGAAAACACAAGGCTTAAATGACAAGCAAAAGCTGCTGAGTATTTAAATACTCTTTCACTCAAACTTATGACCATTTACCAAAAGCATTATACAATGAAACTCAAATTAGAGATTAACCCAGTGCTATATGTACAGCTGTACATGTTTAATATTAAAATTGTTTCCTCACAAAGTTTGCAAATTTCATGAGAGGATGCCCTCATGAGGGTCTTACATGTATGTCTCATTGCCCATGTTTAGTTAAAGTGGAAATCAGTTAGACATAAATGGAAAAAAAAATGTGACAAATACAGGAAATAAATATATTATACAACAATTTAATGCAAACAGCATCTCCTGTGGAAAAACCAGACTATAACATCACCATGGGCAATTTGATTTAGGGAAAAGAAATACATTCTTGCTTGTTCAAACTGTAGTTTAATTAAATGATCAATACATGGAAAATAAACTGCTAAATGAGATGGCCTGAACAATAACCTTGAGAACACTGATGATTCCTTTGAGGATCAATTTTTAACAATATAAGATTGATCAGTGCTTACTTCTTCAATGAAATCTCCTGACACATCTGAATTAAGTTCAAGCAGAAGTTCAGTGGTGCACTCTGCCCGAGACTAATCAAAGAGAAACATGACCGACATGATCAACTGATTAAATTAATAAGTCTACTCCCTTTCAATAAATGGATATTTATTTTGGGTCTCACTGATGTTTCTATAAAGCTGTAATTAATTAATTAATTTCAGATCTGTACGTGTACATGCCAAATGTTCTACTTTACTTCAAAAACATATGTATAGAACATAAAGACTGCTAATAACTGTCAACTTGACCCTTTAACTCCCAAATCAAATTTGTAATTCTCCTTACTGTCAACCATACAATTCTTATTATGCTTGTTCAGAGAATTTAGTACTGGATCAACTAACTATCTCCAAATTGATCTTTTTCTTTCTTCTCATCACTTATCTGGTTGTTATTGTATAGATACTGTAAGAAGAAATTCTGTCTTGGTCACTCATGGGTGTTAAAGGTTAAGGCACTGTTACCATCTTAATGCATTTGTTTAGTGCTACTTGTACTTAAATTATTTTCCATACCTTTCCAATACAATCTTTATCTAAAAAGAAGCTGTGAAAAATCAAAAGGCAAAATAAACTAAATTAAATCAAGTTATCAATAACACAAAGATTTATATCAACAAGAGAATGAATAATCTACAGAGTAATTTAAAATGTTTTTCCTCTTCTGGTCAGATTCATTGTATAAAAAGAGCATAACAATCTATGAATGATTTGTAACATCGAGCAACAATGTTTGCTTCCTATGCACTTACTTGTTGCCTACATCTTCACCAGTAACTTTCTCGCCATCCACAATAGTAAAAGATCCTATGCCTAATGGAAATAAACCACATTCAGTGTGTTACAATTTGAAAATTAAGACATGTGTTACTGGTGATCTGAGAATTCTTGGCTTCAAGGCAGGATTATTTAGCAAAATTCTCATGACTTGAAATTTTTGTTATCTTAATGTAAAGAAAAATTTTCCTACTGCCTCACTTTATTTTCCTGCAACAACATTTCTTAACAAGAAGCCTGTAAACTGCTTGCCCAGGTGCATATGACAATCACAAGCACTGAATGTTAAAATGTCACCACAATTTAAATAATAAATTTTACCTGGAAGAATGAGATTCTTTAGAATTTCAGTTCCAGTAGCTGATGCATTTATTAAGCAAATCTTGGCTCCTTCAAGAGCTTCTTGTCCGTGATCTCCCCACAATCTAAACAACCACAACAAAAAATAACACGTTTTATCTAACTAGATAAAATAACGAGTTAAAAAATCACCTTTTGACTCTGTAACAGAAGTGAATTCAATTTTTTTTTAGGATCTTTCATACAGTCCTGAAGACAATGCTATAAGAGCTTAGTGGTCTAATGGTAAAATGACCCTTCATTCCCGATATAGAGTTCTATGTTTGAATCCTAGCCAGTAATTGAGTTGACAGGATTTTGCGGTCTGGTTGTATAGGTGAAATAGCATTGATAAGAACTGTTGCTATCACTAGTACTGACTGATGTTGTGACAACATTCATGTAGTCTTTGAGGATGACTTACACTGAGGTCATGAAAATGTTGGTCTCTACAACAAACAGCAGTACTTTCCGGGACTTCTCTTACCTGGACAATTCCTTTACATGTATATAATCAACTGTAAATCATATTTAACAAATAAAAGGTGTTACATACACAGAGGAAAATAAACCTGGAAGCCAGACAGTTTTCTCTGACACACTTATTAAAGGAAAATGTGTAACATATAGCCCTGAGAATTGCTTGACAGATTTTTGTCACTCGGCTGTCCTTAGTCGAGCCCTCAGGATCAATGATCAGTATCTTAACTATGTAACTCTGTCTAAGACATTATCACAATGAGAAAGATAAAAAAAACTGCCCGAAAAAAGGACGATAAATGAAACTGGAAACCCGAGCGTTCTAAACATAATATTTCTACGTAATGTAGAAGCATGGATGGACAGCCACGGAGGACTGAGGTACTGACCTAATCTGATTTTTTTTCCACTTTGCTAATCATTTCTGTCTAGCAGGTGGATCTATCACGACCTTACAAACGTTTAATCCATAATCTTTTCTTTTCTGATATCCAAAGATCTCTTAGACGCGGTTGACGACGCGGTTAACAAAAACCACTGATAACGAACCATCCAGCTCACACGCGTATCTGCGCATTCTGAAACCCCTCGCGTTTCTTTCTTAGTGCTATTTTTTCGCATCACAATGCACATTCATTTCTCTTACCTTAACTGACGATCATATTTTTTGTTTTTATCGAGAGCTACCTTGGACATTTTCTGTTTCCTTGAAGGGCCCGGTGAATTCACCGCTTTCCTTTTCATTGCGCATGGGTACTGCACCAATTGAACCACAGTTTTTCTGCACAGCAGTGACGCACCATCGTCGGTAAATTTCGGTTACTTTCGTAAAGCCCCGACATTGGACGGACGTAGCTTGAACGAAAAGGCACTGGTACTTGCGACGTGGCATGCGCATAAATACAGAATATAGTTTAATACGAGGCAATCATGGCGGACGCAAAGTCTTGTGGAAGATCCGTCACAAAGGTGTGTTTTTCTGATAATTTTTTCTCTAGATGTGATAGCTTTAGCCTCAAAAACGGTGCAGTACTTAGTAATAGCCATTCCATGCGAAGTTAATCTCTGTTTGTTTAACCGTTGATACACTAGAAAACGTCTATGTGGCTACTGTCATGTTTGATCTTTTGGCTCAATATTTCGCCCACCTGGCCCTTTTATTTGCCTGGAATTGCTCCGATTGACTACGAAAAAGGCGAAAAACTAGAAGTCAAGGTACGGTCTTTTAAACCTCAAATATTATGATCTAATATTATGCGGGCATCCTTGGTAAATCGTCAGATTTTGATGCTTTTACACTAAACTTGTTTTTGTTTTTACTTGTTCGATTCAAAATTGATAATAGCTGTATGGTGGAATTTTTTGTCTTTTTTTTCCAATTTTTATTTCCGATCATCAAAGACAATTGTATCTTTTTAATACAAACCTCAAGATGCATCTCCGTAGATTTTTTGCCTCATTAATACGGTTGCTATGACTTCACCTACTACTTCAAAGCTTGAAAAAATCTAGATTAGTGCTGTAAGGTGGTAATAGCTGTCATGTTTGATTTGGATGGTCTTTGGAATGTACAGGCTGTAAAAATGACAAGCATCAAGACACAGCTTCCCTTTGAGTACTACTCTATTCCCATCTGTAAGCCTGACAATTTACAGTACAAGCCAGAAAACCTTGGTAGGGCTGATTTCTTGCATTTTTTTATTTTGTATTTAGATCATAGTGCAAAATTTTGTTATGTTCAATTAAAAAAACTAATTTTCATGATACACTACATTGTTTATTTATTTGATGGGAAGCATGGAAAAAAGGTCCTTTGGAATTCACATCTTATTTGAAACATTGTAAATCATTATTTTGCGGGAACTTTGAGGCTAATGAGAATAAATTCTGAAATCAGAGGTAAAACACTGCTTCTGGTAGTTGATTTATGTCTTTTATCTTTGTTTTTCTTTCTTTCTTGTAAGAAAATTTACTCATTTGCCATTTAGAGTATTGTCTTAAAAACAATGTGCTTTGTCTGTAGGGGAAGTACTTCGCGGTGACAGGATTGTAAATACTTTATATGAGGTTTGTATCCTTCTTCTTTAACACTGTAGCACACAAACACACTATAATGATATAGTTGTAGGAGGTGAAACTGTACTTCTTCCTGTATCAAGATATAAGAGACATTTACCCCTGAATTCTTTTTAGTTTGCCATTTAAAACCATTTTTATCTTCTCTATCTTTTTTTGCACTTCTCCCTTGATAGTTTTTTGGTCATTGTTTGTGTTTTATGCTGCCCTCTTTAAACATAAGTTATTTTGGCAAGTAATATACAGCTGTTTCAAGAAAGTTTGCAAATCGTATAGTGTAAGAATGCATGCAATAACCCTGAAAGGTATTGTGAGTATACTATACAGTTGTAGGTCATGATTTATTGACTGAGGATTTTGGGGAAATCTGTAAAAATTTCACTTTAAGTACAAGGCATCTTGTTCTTGATTAGTTTTGTATTTATTTGCCTGCACTTTTGGCTTTTTTTCCGACAACTGTTCTTGAAACAGCTGTAGATTAAAAGGAATTTTTCTAGGGAATTCTTTAGTCTTTATCAATTGTTAATCTAATTTTTTTCTCTACCAAGTCACTAACTTGTATTCTCAAGCAACCTTCTGCCCTCTTCTGACCATTTTACAGTATTCATTTGCTGGTACTACTGAGCTTTTTTGTTGCTTTGTAGATAAGAATGGCACAAAACAAAGGTTGCACTTTACTCTGCAAGCAAACAACTGTGAATGCAGAGCAATCTACGAAACTTTCCAAGCTGATATCAGATGAATACCATGTTCACATGTGCGTAGTTTCTTATTTTAGTTTCTTTTCCTATTTTGTTTTAATCCTTTTATCCTTTGTCATTTTGTCTTCTTTCTTTTTTTTACTTCCTAATGAGTGTCATCATTTTGTCATCTCCTAATTTTTACATGCTTCTGTTAATTAAATGGTTTTGGTAACTTTTTCAATAAGTGGCTGCTACTGATGTAATGGACTGCTGTGCCTTGAAAGTGGCAGCAAGGCCCCATTCTCCTAGGGGGGGTCTAGGCTCCCCCTGACCTCACGAAAATCTGGAATCTAGAAGCTTGGAAATATAATTTCTCTTCTCTGAATTCCTTCTAGCCATTCTCTTGTGTTGTATTCACTTATTTTCTCCTTTCATCTCTTAGTGACTGGAGCATGTTTTAACTTCTCACAAAACTGCTTTATGAACAATTTCAGGGTTATTGATAATCTACCTGTGGCAACAAAATTTGTTCTTGAGACTGGCCAGGTAAGGACCATGATGGCAAAAAATTTTAATGTGATTCTGGTTTCCCAAATAATACTCTTTTCAGAACAATTTTGAAATGTCTCTTTTTCCACATATAATGTATAAAAAATTGCTAAATTTAATTATTCAGTATGTGTGGCAGTTATCGGACACAATCAGAATCTACATTGTACCAGTGTGTTTGGGTTTGTTCATGATTTTGTATCTTTTTCCTTAATTAGGTGCAGTATGATCATGGATTTAAACTTGGATTTACCAGAGAGAAGGTTAGTAACAGGAAAATAAATGCACTGTCTTGATATACAGTCACTCTCTCTCTCTCTTAGTGCTGCCAATCTTGTTATCAATGCTAGTTTTTAATTTGGTTTTATTATTGATGAAAAACCTCTAAAATGAAAAAAATATATAATCAGAATATTTTTAAAAATTCTGTCACTCTCTCAGTAAAGGCCCATTAATTTCATAATTTTGTTCTTTTTGTGATGAGGTAATTATTTTGATTGATATTCAAATTCTCATCAGAATTAAATGGTGGATTATCCTTTTTTTTCAGGAGACTTACCTTAATAATCATTTGATGATGGTCCTCAAATATCATACTTATGACAAGTAAGCAAACTTTTTCCTTGAATTTCTTTTTCAGCAGTGAGTTTCGTCTCTCTTTGCAAGAAAATTTAAGTTTCTGATTTTCTTTCTGTAGCGCCACATTCCGTGTTGTTGGATTTGAAGTACATACAAAAAGGTGAGAAAGTTATTGCATGGAAATTAAAATCAATTAACATAAATCAAGCTGTGATGTCAGGTGCCCTCCCCTGCCTTGGGAGCTTGGGACCTGCCCAATCCCTATCAGCTTCTTTGGCCACATGGCTCTGAGAACCAATAATGTGATGTAACTAATTGTTACAATTTAGTAGGATTTATTCAAATTTCTCTTTTCAATTTTTGGTAGTGTGGCAACAGATGCTATAGCTGTGGAAGCAAACAGTAATAAATGTTCGTTTTTGAGTGACAAGCCATCTAATCTGCAGATTACTCCTAACCGTAAGTTTTATTTTCATTAATGTTGTACAAAGTGACAGATGAAGCTAAAATATGATTAAAACCAAAAACCCTGAAGACGTCCATTGTCACTTTGAGATGAATAGTAAACAACTACAATCACTTTTTTTGGTCGATCATGTGCCAATGAGATGTTAGAGATGTTGGATCAATATCAGTATCTGGGCAACTGCCCACCTACCCCTCCCCTAATTCAACAACAGTCAATTGACAACAATTTAAGGTTAATGTTGGGTTTGGGGAGGGGTAGGTGGGCAGTTTCCCAGATACTGATATTGATCCGAGATGTTGATAGGGATTGAAATGGAAATCAGAATGATGACAGAGATATGAATTTCATCAGAAGCTGTCTATATGCAGCTGAATTTGATGGTTCAAGTGTCATAATGGTTCATGCTTAATACCATTTTGTTGTTGATTTTATATTAATAGAGGACAATGCTGTGGTGTTGACGTATTCTGTAGCTTGGGTGGTAGGTCAAGATGTGATAAATATCATCGTAAATTTTAAATTTCTTTAAATTCTATTTGATTGATACAGTATGTGAAAGAAATTGAAGATTTATTTGATTAGCTTTAAGAGAGGAGTAATTTCCAAAAATGTAAAGCAAACAAGCAAAAAAAAAAACTATTTAATGAATGTTTCTCTTATGGTGTAACAGGAAAACCCTTTCCAAAAAAACTTGTTACTTTTTGGGAGTTCTTACCATGAAACTTGGAAAACTATGCTTAATGGAAATAATTCTATGACTGGATTACAGTGTATGTCAAGAAAATTTACTCAATGAAGCATAATGTATCTAACCGTAATATTGTAGAACAGATTACTGCAGGGCACTATTTTGTAGGTTGGGGTTTCTTTTCTTGCATGTCCTTAACTCCCATTTCATCAGTCACATTAAATATTCTGAGAAAATTCTTAAGTGTTCATACTTTTGGGTTTTATGGTTAAAAGGTCAAAGAAATAAGGGGATGCTATTGTGTAGAGCTTTTTAATCATCACTATATGATATTGTATTTCTCTTTATTACTTTCGTACAGGCCAGTGAGATTGTCTGGGCTTCACGATGGGACACATATTTAGCCATGAGTGATGTTCAGATCCATTGGTTTGCTATAGTCAACTCTGTAGTGATTGTCCTGTTTTTGTCTGGTGAGTCACCAATTACATGTACCTTAATT